CAGCATTAAATGGCAGAACTTGTCCCAGGCTTGCTTCAAGAAAACTCCGGGAAGTTGGCCCATATTTCTTAAACGATGATTTTCTTCATCGCATTCTCGCCCGTAGTATGTTGTTTTGTTTGTTGGCGGAGGTGGTCGGGGGAGGCCACGCGAATCTTGGTCGGCGGCACTTCGAGCGGGGAGTGGTGACTGTCAATCAAGCAAGGACACCTGCTGGTTGGAAGATCTGCTTCGTGACGCCACCTACTCACAGAGGGCTGGTGGGACGTCGATGACGCTTCAATTCTGCTCAGAGGTTCCAAGCTGACCTTCGACAGGCTACAGCACCGAGGAGGCCCCCAAGAGATCTCCAGAAGGCCTCCCGAAGGGCCGGGCCCTCGGGGCACCATACGTTTCTTAACAGATCTTTGCATGAGCATCCTTCGACGCTGCAGCACTGACTCCACAGGGCCCCAATGTGGCCAGACCATTTCGACGTGTCTCCTCCTGCCCCTTCAGAGAGCCTTGCGGGTCTCCCAGGTCACCCCAACACTGCCAGGCGCGCCTCTCCCACCATCCCGAGCCCTCCTGGAGACATGCCTCGGGGCCTTCGGGTCCAGAGGCTTTTGCGAGGCCCCAGCGCCCCCGAACCACCTTTCCTTTCTGGTATCGGTTCAAACTCGCCTGTGGCGGCTCCTTTCTTGACCCGTGCGGCAGAACGCGGCGACGCCCATGCCCCACATCTCTTCGGACAGCATTGGCCCTGGAGGTGTACAGTCAACCCGCATGGCAAGGATGGGCGACCTTCCCAAGGGTATCCTGGTATCCTTGCCCCTTCTGCCCATCCTTTGGGCCTTTCGCGGGCCAGTCTCGTTCGAAAAACGTCAAACACGGGCCTCCAAGGCCCTTGCGTCCTAACCGCGCATCCTTATACTGGTTGGCTGCATCACAAACCTCAGGAGTAAAAGAAACACACAGATACAATTAATCGTCGATTCTCCTAAAAATATTGGAAAATATGGGAAGTGGGGGGGAAGACAAACACCCAAAAAACATGGAAAATGTGGGGAATCTGTTTATTTGTGTATTTGTGTGTATTTATTTCAGAGTGTCCCGCCGGCCATCCCTCCCCCGCCATGCTCCCATCGTGCGGTAGGTCCGCGTCGCGTCGACGACGCGGCGACCCCGGCGCGGGCGGTCAAGGTTCAACGCCGCCATCGGGAAGGCATCGGCCGACACCTCTGGATCTGCACTGTCGGAAGGCTACGAGCTTGCAAGATGGAACGGTCCACGCGGGGTCAGAAAAAGCAGCGCAGAAGTCACCAGGACACGCACCTGTCGTAGGCCGCAAACTGACGTAGGCAGAGTGGGAGAAAGAGCTGCCGCAGGGAGTGCGGGTTCGATGCCGTGTGCCTGCGGGCGAGGGGTTCCTCCTGTGCTTATCCGCGCCCCTGGTCTCGAAAGGGACACGCTTGGGACGGGAGGGCCGGGTTTCGCTAGCCAGGGGGACCGACATAGGCACGGAAGCACTAGTTACGAATGCCAACAGTAGTTTTGGCCCATTGTGACAAAGACCAGGATTCGTTGTCGGGGTCGCCGCGGACGTCGTCCATTTGAAACGAAAGTCGCCTGCCCAACGGCGGTGTCTGTCTGTTTTGAGCACGTGCTGTTGGGCATCTGATCCATTTTGCCCTCACAATCTTCTGGCGCTTCTAAATCGAATTGAGCGCATTGTGCATTTCTGCAGCAGCTATCCTGGAGCACTCTTGTGGGGCGCGGTTTTGCTGTCGTTGGGGCAGTCTCGCACGGCCAATCGAGACCACGTGCGCAGGCATCTTCGAGGCGAGGAAAAGACACCGCACGTCTCCAGAATCCTGGGGTGAGAAAGGGGACGCTCGGAGTGCTTCTCTGAACGCTCCCCGACTCGATCTGTTTGAGCGCACGCGTGCGCTTTGGCTCACCATCCTCGTCTACTCAGGCATTCGCAGACATGGTCTGGAAGCGTCTTACTATGGAAGCAGCAGGTGTAAATGACTACACAGCTGCATATAGATCAGCTACAGCGCAGGGATTAGCGCGTGTAAGAACGACCAGCAGTGGCAGCGGGCTCTGGCGCTGCTCAGGGAGATGCGGGTGGCGAAGTTAGAGCCCAACGTTGTCAGTTTTAATGCTGGGGTCAACGCGTGTGGGAAATGTACGCAGTGGGAGCCGGCCATGTCGCTACTAAGCGAGATGTTTGAAGCTAAGATGGAGCCCAACGTTGTCAGCTACAGCGCTGGGATCATTGCGTGTGGGAATGGTGATCAGTGGCAGTGGGCCGTGTCGCTGCTCAGCGGGATGTTAAAGGAGAAGTTTGAGCCCGACAAAATCAGCTTCAGCGCTGGGATCAGCGCGTGCGAGAGAAGTGCGTAGTGGCGGCCAGCCCTACGTGGGAAGCGAGGTCGGAGTCCGACGTCGGCAGCCACAACGTCGGGTCCAGCGCGAGCGAGGAAGGCCAGCAGTGGCAGTTCCATGTGGCTTCGCTCAGCGAGATGGTGGAGGCGAAGCTCGAGCCCGACGTCACCTTCTCCCAGATGCCAGGCGCAGCGTCCGCGAAAGAGGCTTCCTTCCCTGTGCCCGCGCTGGTCTGAGCGGAAGGGGGGTGGGAGGGAACATCGGGGCGGGGCCGCAGGGCGGAGCGGGGGCGGGGACGAGGCGGGCGGAGCGCTGGGGATGGCAGGCGCCGGGGAAGAAGGGGTGCAGGTGCGCCCGTCCTGCCCGGTGTGCGCGCGCCCTGACCTGCCCTGCGTGCGCGGGGAGCGCGCCGGAGGGATGCTGGAAAGAAGCGAGGAGGAGGGAGGAGGGAGGAGGGAGGAGGGAGGAGGCAGGAGGCAGGAGGGAGGAGGGAGGGGGATGGATGAGGAAGGCGGGGGGGAAGCACGAGGTGGGGAGAAGGTAGTAATCCGAGGGTCGCCTCCCTTGTGTCCCGGTGGATGGATCGTGGCGTGAGGCATGCCAGGCTTAACCCGTGGGCGACACCTCGATCCCCCAAGGGGCCACCAGCTCCAGGTGCTCCAGCTGGCCACCAAGGGCGCTCCCCACGAGGGTGGTCCAGCCCTGGGCTTGAGGCCCGAAAGTGGAGGAGCGAATGACAGCGTAAGCATAAGCTCTTGAAGCTCCGCACGGGTTTCGTAGATCGGCGCCGGAGCCCCCTTGCCTCTGGTGCCACTCCTGGCGCGCTCCGCGCGCCAGGGGGGAGATGTAGTGCAGGTCCAAGAAGTTCGCGCGAACCTCCGAACGTTTCCGATTCAGAACGATACCCGTCGGTCGTTGAAAGTAGATATTTTGGGATTTCGAGATTCCAATCTACTTTAAGCGCCTTCCTACTACAATGATCGAGTGGCTTCACCTCTTCCGTCCTCCTTGGGGGGCGGACGGAACCCAATCTAGTTTCAATGCCTTCCTACTTCATGTGTCCACCAATCTCTTCCGACCGACTAGTCGGCTTCTGGCTGGGAGGAAAAAGTCCTGGAGGCCTCGCGCGGCGCGCACTAAAGCTGTATCATCAAGTGCGCGGAGGTCCGCCCCGTCAGAAGTGGGGCACGACCTTCGCGCGGGGGTGTCCCGACGGAAGCCCGAAGGTGCCAGTGGGTCCGAAGGCTGCCTCGCGAGGCCTCCAGGAGTTCCATTCAGAGCAGGACGAGCGACGCGAGACCCAGACATCTGGCGCCCCATTTTTTTTTGTCCACGCGTCGGTCCCTGCGGGTCTGGACGACACTTCCCTACAGGACCGGCTCTTCGTTCTAAGTCCTCCGGCAGTGCGGAGCCTGTTGAGGGCCCCTGGAGGCTGAACATTGCCAGCACCCTCCCTTGTAATTCCTGGCCTCGCGGGCCTGGCCCCTGGGCCGCGACCCCGCGGGCACGGGGCGTTTTTGTTCGCGGATGCCCCGCGCGGAGCGCATCCGTGCAACCACACAGCAGCGGGATCGCGCCCCAGAATCCAGACCGCGAGGGCGCGGATACGGATAACAGATCATGTTCGCCGCTCGTGAGTATTCGACTACACGTAAGAGTGGCCCTTCGCCAAAACGACCTTCAGTGCGGGTTCGTCGGGGCCCCCCGATCGCTGAGCGCAATGCGACCAGCGGCTTGCGCGGTTGGGTTTGGCCCCCTCGAGCCCCCAAATGCCGCGCACCAAAGGCCACTCTTATCCAGGGTCACTCTTGCGTCTAGCCGAAATGTCTTCGGAGCCCTTCTAGTCTTCCCAGATGGTGTTGGAGTAGATGGTGTCGGAGGATCGCGACGCATCGCCGATGCATCGGCGAGAAAGCTCGATGTGGAGCCCGACCTTCTCCACGCCGGTGCCGCCGCTGCATCGCCGACCTTCGCCTGCGCATCGCCGATGCATCGCCGATGCATCGCCGATGCATCGCCGACGCTTCGGCGATGCGGCGAGATCCTCCGACCCCGTCGACTCCGACCGAGCCTTTTTGTTGTTAAGATTCTGGCAAGGTTACTTGCGTTGACGGGGGAGGGGGGGGCCGGAACCTGAAGCAAGCTGCGAACGACCTGACGTGCGGAAGCCACGCAAGTCGAAAGTCGAAAGGCGCTTGCACGCCCGTGCCCGTGTTCGATGGAAGAGCGGCGAGGTGGGGGGGGGGCGGACGCCATGCAGGCAAACTTGCCCGATTGAAGAGTGGCGAGAGGGGCGAGGGGGACGAACGCCATGCAGGCAAACCTGCCCGCGCCGACCGACAAGAACGGGCCCCGCTCCTCGCGTCGGGGGCCATCCCGGGGCTGCTCCTCGCCGCCCCCCGTGACGAACGAGCAACACGCACCCATACCCAGAGGGGGGTCGTTGGGAGGAGGACTGGCTATGGGCATGGGTGCGGGTTGCCGGACCCTGGGGAACGCTCCCGTTCGAGCGGGGACCCCCCTCCGACAACACGCACCCACAGCCCTCTCCGACCCCTCTATGGGTATGGGTGTGTGTTGCTGGTTCGTCACCCCGCGCGGGCGCCCCGGTGCGGCACCCTCCTCCGGCTCGAGCGCCCCGCGGCCCGCCAGCCCCCCCCTCGCAGCACGTTTTGCAAGCCGAGGCAGGCCGGCGCCGGCCGCGCGTCGCGGCGGCCGCGGGCGGTCGGCGGCGTCGACGTCGGCGGCGAAGATGGCGACGGCGGCGTCGGCGGCGTCGCCGACGACCCAGCGACGGCGAGCGACGTCGTCGTCGGCGGCGAAGGGGGCAGCGACGGCGGCGGTGGCAGCGAGGGGAAGCACGGGGATGAGGAGGAGGAGGAGGAGGAGGAGGAGGAGGAGGAGGAGGAGCGGCGGAGGGAGAAGGAGGAGGAGGATGATGATGTGAATGATGATGCTGCTGATGATGATGATGATGATGATGATGCTGATGATGATGGTGATGATGATGATGATGATGGTGATGATGATGATGATGATGCTGATGATGATGATGATCATGATGATGATGTTGATGATGATGATGGTGATGGTGATGATGATGCTGATGCTGATGATGATAATGATGAGGATGATTATGCTGATGATGATAATGATGATGATGCTCATGATGATGACGATGATGATGATGCTGCTGATGCTGATGTTGATGCTGATGCTGATGATGATGATGCTGATGATGATGATGTTGATGATGATGATGATGATGATGATGGTGGTGATGCTGATGATGATGCTGATGCTGATGTTGACGCTGATGATGATGATGTTGATGATGATGATGATGATGATGATGATGATGATGATGATGATGATGATGATGATGATGATGATGGTGGTGGTGATGCTGATGATGATGCTGATGCTGATGTTGACGCTGATGATGATGTTGATGCTGATGCTGATGCTGATGCTGATGCTGATGCTGATGCTGATGCTGATGCTGATGGTGGTGATGGTGATGGTGATGGTCATGGTGATGATGGTGATGGTGATGGTGATGGAAGAGGAGGAGAAGGAGGAGGATGAGGAGGAATAAGGAAATCAGGTGGTCGCGAGCCGAGCTACTCACGAGGTTTGGTGTCACTAGCGAGCAGCTCGAAGTGTGGAAGCCTGTGGAGCATCAGCCTCTGTCTGGTGACGGGGGGTAAGCTCACCGCTCCGGGGAGATGCTCTTTCTAAGTTCAGGCTCTGCAGACATTGTCGCACGCCTAAGGCGATACATAGATATATATATATATAGAGAGAGAGGAGTCGGAGGAGGAGGGGAATGGATGAGACGGAGGATGGAGGTGGAGGCCAGAGAGAGCGCGAGGCTGACGGAGGTTGTTGTAAGAGCGGGAGGAGGAGGACGAGGAGGAGAAGGAGGAGGAGGAGGATGGGGAGGGGGGGGAGGAGGAGGAGGAGGAAGAGGAGGAGGAGGAGGAGGAGGAGGAGGAGGAGGAGAGGAGGAGGAGGAGGGAGGAGGAGGAGGAGAGGAGGAGGGGAACGAGGAGGAGGAGGAGGAGGAGGAGGAGGAGGAGGAGGAGGGAGGAGGAGGAGGAGGAGGAGGAGGAGGAGGAGGAGGGAGGAGGAGGAGGAGGAGGAGGAGGAGGAGGAGGAGGAGGAGGAGAGGAGGAGGAGAAGGAGGAGGAGGAGGAGGAGGAGGAGGAGAGGAGGAGGAGGAGGAGGAGAGGAGGAGGAGGAGGAGGAGTAGGAGGAGGAGTAGGAGGGGATGAGGAGGAGACGGAGGAGCAGACGGGGGCAGAGAACCGGGGGCAGATTCTTGAGCTGCTGACGAGGCCGGCTGGGGTTCGCAGCATGGCCTTGGATGACTCGGGTCAGCGCTGACCCGGGGTACCGCGCGTCCCCGAGTGGGCCTGAGTTCTGTCTGAACCCCCCAGGACTTCTCCGCAGGTTCAGCCAGGTCCTAGAGCATGAGGCACGCGCACTCGATCATCCTCCTCCCTCCTCCTCCTCCTCCTCCTCCTCCTCCTCTCCTCCTCCTCCTCCTCCACCTCCTCCTCCTCCCCTCCTGCTCCTCTTCCTCCTCCTCCTGCTCCCTCCTCCTCCTCCTCCTCCTCCTCCTCCTTTTACGTCGACCAGACATGATGAACGACCTTCCCTCCTCCTCCTCCTCCTCCTCATTTCCTCCTGCTCCTCCATTTCCTCCTCTCCTTTCCTCCTCCTCCTCCTCTCCTCCTCCTCCCTCCTCATCCATCTCCCGCCTCCTCCCCCTCCTCCTCCTCCTCCTTCTCCTCCTCCTCCTCCTCCTCCTCCTCCTCCTCCCCCCTCCCTCCCTCCCCCTCCCTCCCTCCCTCCCTCCCTCCCTCCTCCTCCCTCCCTCCTCCTCCTCCTCTCCTCCTCCTCCCTCCATTTCCTCCTCCTCATCCATCCCCTTCCTTCCTCCCTCCTCCTCCTCCTCCTCCCTCCTCCCTCCTCCTCCTCCTCCTCCTCCTCCTTCTCCTCCTCCTGCTCTTCCTCCTTCTCCTCCTCCTCCTGCTCATCCTCCCTCGATCTGTCGTGTCGAAGGGCGGGACCGCCGTGGGAGGAGGCGCAGGAGCAACAGTTGGAGGAGGACGGCCTTGGACCCGCCAGAGGCAGCCGCTGGCAGCCCAGCACACCGCTCGGGATGCAGGCCTCCCTCGTGAAGTACAACACCCCCAACCTCATCAACACCACAGGAGTGTGGGAGTCCGTCCCTTTCCTCCTCGCTCCTCCTCTTCCTGCTCCTCGTTTTCCCTCCTTCCTTTCTCTCCCCTCGTTCCGTTTCACCCCTCTTCATTAGATCATTTTTCTTCGATTTGCTCCTTCGTACCCCCCCTCCTTCTTATGACCCTTGCTTCGCTGATTACTTTTCGCATCCCTGCTCCTACTCTCTCCTCTTCCGTACTGTTCCTTCTTGGCTTCACCTCCCACCCCATCCCTCCCCCCCTCCTCTCCTTTCCCTCCTTCCCCCCTCCTCCCCCATCTGTCCCGCCAGACGTGGGAGGAGTCGTAGGGCCATCTCGGGGCGTCGGGAGGCAGCCTTGGCGCAGAATTTTGCCGCATCGGAGCCGTCTGCGCGGCCAGCTGGAAGCCTCCCTGGGCAGTCTTGGGCGGATTCGTCCCTCTCGGGGGCCTCTCCTTCCTCCGCCCTTCCCCTCAAGCAACACTGGCACGAGCGGTTGCAGGGAGGGCACAGGGCTCTCCTCGCATTTTGCGCGCGACCACTCGGCCAGCCCCGCGCCGTCCCGAGGTGCTTGGGGTCTGCCTCGCCTCCCACGCGGCGAGCGTAGGCGTTCGAGGCAGCTAAAGCGGGGATGGCCTCCTCGCCTGCAGGTCGTCGGCTCTGGAGCACGTGCGCTGGGTGTCATACACATCAGTGGAACGACGTACTGCTTCAAGAGGGCGGAGCATGCAGGAAGTGCGGGAGGCCTGTGAAACTGTTCAAGCCCAAGGGCCAGGACGTCAGCCAGCAGCAGCAGCAGGCGGTCGCCCTTGTCCAACCTGGGCCTAAGCACAAGGGCAAGAGCAAGCAGCAGGGAGGTGCAGGAGGCACTCCAGAGGGCGCCCTCGACCTGCTGAGCCAGACCATTGCGGCCACCACAGACCCGACGGTCAAGCGCGTCCTGGAGAGCCAGCAGGCGATTCTCGCCGCGCAGAAGCCCGTGGAGTCGGTCGTGTCTGCCGACGAGGCCGTGAGGAAGGCCTCAGGCGCGTGGAAGGACGCCGAGGCCAAGCACGCCCAGTCCGTGGACCAGGTGCTGCGGTGCAGGGCTGCCTTAGTCAAGGCTGAGGCGCGCGAGGCGGAGTGCGCTCGCACTCTGGCTCAGGCGGAGTTCAACAAGCAGATCGCCATCAAGGCCCTCGCCAACGCCTCAGGCTTGCAGGTGCAGGCGACGGGCGACGGCAAGGCCCCTGACAAGGCCGCCGAGGGCGACTGCTTTCGCGTGGAGGTTGATGAGACCTTCTTCGCGTCCATCCAGGACTTAGAGTGCGAGGAAGGGGAGCGTAAGGAGCTCGCGGAGCTGGAGAAGCAGTTGCGCGACATGCAGACGGCCATGGCCACGAGGTCGTCCGAGGTGAAGGCTTGGGTCGAGCGGACCAAGGCCATGAAGGCGGCCATTCAGGAGCGGTTGCAGAAGAAGCGGAAGGTAGAGGCTGGAGGAGTCGCTGGAGGCGCTCAGGGCGGTGGCACCGCTGGCGCTGGCACGGCGACGGGCCCCGAGGCCGCGGCTCCTGAGGGCGCGTCAGCGCCCCCGCCAGCCGGGCCCGGCGCGGGCTCGGGCAGCAGCGGCGGTCTCTCGGAAGAGGCCTTGGCAGCGAGGGCCAAGCAGATCAGTGAGGCCAGGCTCGCAGGTGCTGACGCAGCGAGGCAGGTTGCGGCTGCGGCTCCCGCAGCGCCGAGCATGTGATGTTCGCCCGCGGCGCCCGTCCCCTTGGATGGAGGCGCCGCGGAGACCTGCCCTCGCAGCGCGTCAGCCGATGGCACTGCGAGCTCGGCTGCTACATCGGCATCCTCAGCATCTACAGCATTTTCGGCAACTTCAGCGACAACAGCATCATCGGCGACTGGTCAGTCCACGAGCGCGAGTACATGTACATCGCAGGGGTGTGGCACAGTGTCGGATGTTGTTATTTCTTCAGATGATGGTGGCAGTAGCACTGGTGATTGCAGTACGCTCTTCTTCTCGAACTGCACTTGTCTTGGGAAGAAGGCCTGGGGGCATATCCAGTCGCTGGTGTCAGGGCAATCTGATAATTCAATAGACTTTTTCGGGTTAGTGGAGACCCACATCGGAGATTCGTTGAGCAAGCGGTGGGCCACGAAGTTCCGCAGCAGCAAGCTCAAGCATGTGTTCAACTTGGCCAGGAGCACGGGGCTCGGCAACACCGAGGCCAAGCGTGAGCGTGCCAATGAGGGAGGTGAAGTTCTACTTTTTCGGCAGCATCTTCAGGTTCATCGGTTTCCAATTTCGCCTAACGACGCGCCTGACTTATGCGCTGACGGTCACTCAGCTTACGACGGATTTCTTCCAGTGATAGTGCATTTCCAGTCGTATTCCCTGGTGCTGGTCCTTGTGTACGGTTACCCGTCAGTGGGCATGAGGTGCGGAACCATCAACCATCAACGTTTTCATCGGCTAGGTGGATTTCTTCGTGCGCTGCAGTTACCTTGGCTGTGCATTGGAGATTTCAATATGGCAGCAGAGACTCTTCAGAAATCTCATTTCCTCGCGCGGGTCCATGGTAGGATCCGCAAGTCAGAAGCAGAGTATACTTGTACAACAGCGAAGGGAGCCTCGCACATCGATTACGTCATCACAGGTCCTGGAGCCGAGAGTTTTGTCGTCGACCTTCGTGCCGATCATAATGTTCCTTGGGGGCCGCACTGTGGACTGCGATTGAGGTTACGTCATAGCTGCCAGCAGTTGGTGACACGTTCGCTCATTGTTGCAGGCAAACTTCCGCAGGTGAGTCGGCCAGGCACTCTGCCCACCCCAGGCTCCAAGAGTAGCAAAGCTAAAGCAGAGAAGGCGTTTCGCGTAGCCGTCGCCAAGGAAAAATTTGTCGATGAATCGCTCGAGCTCTTCGGGGACATGTTTCAGGACCCCGATGAAGAAGGTGTGCGTGAGTCTTTCCCTGAGCCAGTTGTTTCTGAGGCTTTTGCTCCCGTCGAAGGCGAGGAGGAAGAGGACCCGTGGGCCGAGGAAACCTGTTTTATATCGGCGTTTTCTGGTCATTCGGAGGTCGTGGAAACCTCTGGAGAACCCTTGGCCGACAGTAGTTCCTCAGTCGCACCTAGCGTCTCAATTGCAGTGTCAGTGTCCGCTGCCGACCCAGGTCCGCCCCACTTGAGTGACGAGCCTCAGCCCGAGCCCGTTTCAGAGGCCCCCAGCAACAGCAGCTTAGATAGTTCAGCTGGTCAAGCTGAGAGTGCCCCTGGAAATAATGAGCCCGTTGTTGCTGAATCGTCGCCTCGGAACCCCGAGTTCCAAGTTCCATCGGACTGTTGGGTGTTGGCTCAAACCTGTTGTGGATCCAGCTTCATCCCATCCGATAGCAATGATGTTTACACACACTGGTCTGCCATTCATGATTCGCTAGCAGTGCGAGTTGCAGGGCCTCACGTTCGGCACGTTTCGGCTCTGTACGCTGGTTGGGTATCTACCTTAGAGGCGACGATATCCAGTCATCACGGTTTACCTCTTAGTTCTGTTTCTCGCGCTGCTGATCCCCACCTTCGGGAGCAGCGCGTACCGCAGGCGGCTACCTTCCGAGAGGCTCCCCTTCAAGACAGGGTTGCCAACTGGTGGTCGCGAGTCGTTCAAGCATTAGTGAAAGTTTCTCGACATCGTGAACGGGGTAACGGCGCCAGGCAATTAGTTTATCTTCGAGAACTTGGTGTTCGACTGGGCACTGATTACCCCGAGGGGGTGCATGCAGTGCTCCCCTATAACGACAGCGGTGATTGGGAGCATTGGGTTAGTTTTCTCTGCAACAACTTCAGCTGCGGTGGGAGGAGTCTTGACAGCTTCTTGCAGGTGGCACAGCGAGCCGCTAAGAGAGCTGCGGCCAAAGCACTGCGGCAGTCGTTATCGGAGTTCAAAGAATGGGTGTCGTCAGCGGAAGCGTCAGGGGTACTGCACAAGAGTATCAAGGATACGCCTACGGTCACTGACGAGCTCTTTCACCATGGCGAGTATCTATTTCATCCCAAAGATGTAATCGATGCGAAAGCCACCAAGTGGCATGAGTTGTGGTATGATCCTGATTTCAGCATCGACGAGTTGTGTGCCGCCTTCGCCGACATGAGGGAGTGGGCTCGCATTCAAGGGCTTGCACTTATCGACGGCGATGAGGTACGGCAAGCCGCAGCTCGGATGAAAAGCTAAGCTGGCCTTGGCGTTGATCAGCTGACGCCTCTGGACATTCAGAGGCTCCCTACTGAAGGACATGACGCCTTGGCTGGAGTTCTCAATATGATTGAAGATACGGGCACATGGCCCACTCAATTGTTATGTGTCTTGGGTCGTCTTTTACCCAAGAAGGCGGGCGGTGATCGGATCATCGGTTTGCTGCCCATTGTGTGTCGGCTGTACACCCTCATTCGGGAGCCCTACACTAAGCGCTGGTCCACCGACACGGCGACGGACTGGGACGCTGCAGTGGCTGGCAATTCGGCGCTGCAGGAGGCTTTCTTGAAAGCAGTCGATCAAGAGTTGTTTGTGAAGCCTGGGGTTTCCAACGGGTGCGCCTTATTAGACCTCAAGTCATTTTACGACATGATCAGGTGGAGCAAACTCTCCGACGCGGCCATTCGGCTGGGATTGCCTGGTATAGTTTTGCTGCTGGAGGTTCAATTATGTACGGCGCCGAGAGTTTTGGCGCAATTTGGGGCTCATGCAGCCCCTTTTCAGCCCACCAGGAGCATCATTCAAGGGCTAAGAAATGGGGTCCGATTTGGACGGTGCCTAACCCATTTCATCCTGGACAGGCTTTGCACGGCGAGAGTCACATCATCCCAGCGTATATGGGTGGATGATTTATACTTAGGGCACAAAGGTTCTCGCCTAGCTGTTCGCAAGGCGCTTGTTCAAAGTGTTGTGTTGGTCCGAGATCAGGTCGTTCAAGCCGGGCTCAAGTTGGCGCCCAAGAGTGTGATCTTATGTGACAGCATGAATGATAGCAAGCACGTTTC